ATTATTTTAGATTTAGCCAATCATTTTGTTAGAGTTTTATCGATGTAAGTACAATTCTTGCTACATATAAATACGGCGATTTTGGTAGTCAACTTGTCTCAAATGGATTCAAACAGTCTAATGACGAATGGTCAGTAGATTTCAGGGCAATTTATGTGTCGGTCTAGCCTAACGTTTGTGATAATTTAATCAACTTCTTTCGTATTTAGTCGACCGTTACGACAAGGATCCTTCACGTCGAAATTTCTAGAATTGAATTGTTCTAATGCATTGTTCCACCAACGCATCTAGCCCATAAATAGTAATCATTTTTTATGGGCCTGGTCAGAATTTGTGCTTTTTGTCGTAATCAACTTGGATATGTGCAGACGTTTTACTTACCTTCAAGGTCAAGTGCAAATAAAGGCGTTCCAACAATTTCAGTACTATCAAATCCTAGCTTGGACGCCGATCTGACGATACTCGTATTACCTCAGATACGTGACTTCAAAGATATCTTGGTACAAACACTGAAAATACTATTGCGAATATTTTTAAATATTCGCAATATTTATAAATTAAATCTAAAAATGAGACATCTTGGGTAAAATCAATTATCTTATGTAATTTTATCGTATATTGCCGTACCTCTAGTTAGTAATTTTAATATGTGTAAAACTAGTTTCTAGGAGCTTTAGGACTAATCCATTATGTAGGTCATAATAATTACTGTAAAGGTAATTAATAGGATAGTGTTTTCTATACCCAAGTAACACCTGAACGCAGCTTTAAAAGTTCAGTGCACGACTCAAAGCTAAAGGCTCCTAATGTGTTTAGAGTGTGGATATTTTGGCTAAAAATATTTAGATTGGCGTTTTGACAGGTGTCTGTCATAAACCTTAAAAATTGTTAATAAGACAATGCGAACAAATTTGTTGCTATTATATGATATATAAAACAACATTGTTAGCATCATTGAAAGTAACATTGAAAGGCAAACTATAATACTTTTAAAGTTACTTAGTCATTTTTTCTATAAACCTCAAATGCCCATGTTTAAAGGGAGCGTTTGAGGTAGATTGCGCTAATGCGACTGCTTCAAGTCCCCCATCCGTAGGGCATTTTCATTCATCTATATATGAGCGTATACCAGGATATACATTCAAATTATGAGTACAAAAAGATAATTTTGCACAACAAGTTACTTGTGTAAAAACTACGATAGACGAACAATCTCAAGCCTGGCATCTTGTAATCAAATATATAATTCATTTAAACATAGTATCTCCGTTCAAAAGTTTGCCTCTGCTCATATGATAATTCGTAATATATACCCTTGCATAGATTATGTTTAATTATTTTTACATGAAGAAAAAATACATAAAAATGGAAAAGAAAATTCGATAAAAAAGTTACTTCATATTATTCATACAAAAAAACACACAGATAAGTGCTATCATGAAATGCGACATGCGGAGCTTGTTTGTACACATTATATACATTAGGTATAGGGCCTGCAGTTAGCGAAAACGTAGCGCCAGTGTTGATTCATGGTCAGAAAAAAGAGCCTTTAGTTAAGAGCGGCATATAGGTATATTTCAACCTGTGTCTGCTGGCGCGTCAGCAACTCTGGTACCTTTTATTGTAAAAGCAAGTTCGTCTTTAGGGTAATTACAATGCTTTTATAAGATCTATTTAAATATCATAATTATTCAGTATAATTAAGCATGTCAGAAAAAAACAATAAACATCAGTAGAAACACACATTACAAAACGAAAAACGCTAGTTTTACTACCACGCTCGTGAGGACTGCTTTAAGTCAAACAACTTACGTAGTACTAACGTAGCGTGCCTTTTAATGGCATTTTTTCAATCTATTGCGTTGCTTGAAGATGACCGACTGCTTTTCTCATTGGATGGCTTTAAAGTTACCTATATTATTCGTATGGTTTTATTAATATTATAAGTTACGTCGCGTTTCGGCAACAGCATTTTCGGAGTACCTTTATTCATAACTAAAATAAAGCGTCTTAGAGATAATATATTGTCTTCCTGCAACGATACAATTCTTATTACGATAAAATCCCAAATACTACCTAGGTACTTAACAAGCTGTTTCTGATCAAGATACGTTATCGGAATAAACAGCACGAACATGGTTCTGCTAAACAGGTCCCGATGTAAAAGAGACTCATTACGTTGAACTTCTTCAATTGAATATATAAGCAGCCTCAATTAAGCCACAGAGCCCGTATATTGCAGTAGAAGTTTCTTGAGAGTGTTGATTTCGCTCTAATGTAGAACTGTAAGAACCGTTGACCCCAATTTTTTACTTGGAAGTTCTATACTGATGGGATCGTGACGTTACTAATAAGTATGGCAGGAAATTATCCACCAAAATGGTGCCAATCTAGTGTAGGAATATTAATTCTAACTATAAAAAATATTTGCTTTAACTTTGGCTTTGAAACAGCCGCTGCTTTTTCGACGACCCAGCACGGAAAAATCTGCCACCAGTATCTAAAAAGTCGGAGGAAACTGTTTTATTTTTTTTTTTTTGTAATTACAGAATGTGTAGTTTCATACAGCTGTACAAAATATAGCTTGACACACGACCATACAAACTATTCGGATAGTCTGAAATACATTTATTGTTGGTGACAAAAATGCGATGTTTTGAGCAGAATATTAAATTCAAAATTGCAATAGCAGAAGTAGACTACAACAGTACGTCAAGCAGGCACTCTTAACCATAGTAAGCTCTTCTTAGCGGGCTGTCTAACTGCGAACTGCATGAAAAACTTCCAACGCACGGCTAGAGCAGCCCGGTAAAGGTTGGAATTCGTAGGCGCGAAGTCTTTGTGGTAGATGACACCGCACTTCACCCCCCACCCCCCCACCCCCCCGTGTACATTACCTCCAACATGGGAGATCTATCTAGTCGAATCGGGTCGATAGAATAGACTCCATAAAAATTTGACCAGCGCTATTTTTTCCTTCTTTTGGGCCTTCGCAGTGTAGCGGCTGAAGGCGAAAGTTCTCAAGGCCATTCGTTTTGTGCTTTGGCCTTTCCCCAGGCCCGAACCACTCAAATAAATAAACCCTTATATGAACGAACAAAAAATAAAGCAGAACCTGAATCGCAATGCTTAACAGACTGGAATCCAACTCGAACAAAAATTAAGACTTGTCTTTCTTTCATTAGTGAAGCCGTGCGTATGTGTGTGTCTGATGTGAAACGCCGAGCGGCCGGCTGGCTTTTGTAGACAATACACTCTGTAGCTCCGTGGCTGACTCTCGCTCGATTGTTTCCATGGCGATCAAGCGAAATACAATGCATTGATATTACAATAATAGCGGGACTTAGCTGGCTATAATAAACAGTGGTAGACACCTTCTCGTCGATTTGTTGTGGACCACTTAGAAAGCTGAGAGAACGCGACAGACGGCTAGCTCAGTACGTACGACAAGATGGAAAGCTGATGCTATCGTTCCTGATGTTGCTACTGTTACCGTCGCCATCGGTTCGAGCTTTTCTAGTTTCTAATGTTTGACAGGTCGACAGCGTTCAATAGTAAGGTTCGACAAAGACGCGCGTCAACTGGTCTGAGCGTGTGACCATAAGGCGCGACGTTGGAAACAGAGATTAAGGTGATTCTATTTAACGTACTGTTGAAGATAACGCAATGCCACTATCGATGATAGAAAACTGCTAAAGACTTTTGAAAAGTGGAACACACACACACACACACTTTGTAAGAGATGTTGAAAAATCGATACGATCGTGAAGATTTTATCTCGCTAGAACAATCCTGCTACCTTTGTTCTAGAACCAACGGATACTTGCCAATAATGAATGCAAAACTTTCCAATCAAATGGTAAGACTATACAATTGCTATAATTTAGTAAAAATTTTCTTGTTACATAGATTCACGTGAAGGTGAAGCCGGTGAAACTCTTACTTCAAGTACCCATTCTGACCTAAGCATTTATTGCAAAATATCTTCAAATTATCTTGAGAGCGCAGCTTTGCCGCCGATCATGTAGCGACCTTACAAATAGAAAAGTACAACTGTACAGGTTTCGAAAAACCTGACTATTGACGGAATTTTCCAGGAAATTTCTAGTGCTTACGTTGCTGCAGAAAAAAATCGTCAAAAGCACACTTCTTGATAAACAATGTCTACGCTTTTGACTAAGATAAGTTATCGATTTGATGTAGCTAGCTTTATTTATCCCTCATTACATTTATTTAACCTAAATAATTCTTGTTACGATCTATCACTTATTTACTTTTGTATAAAACGTATGATTTTCAATTGAGCGAAGAAGGTTTTTCTAGTCAGTGTGCGTCACGAACATTCGCACACAGTCTCTCTACAAAACTGTCCCTAAAAAAAAGTCGCTATTTTCCTAAAAAAAAAAAAAAAAAAAAAAAGTCCTATTTTATCAGTATCTTGCATTCAAGAGATTTTACCAAGATCAAGAGAGGAACTTCTTCATAGAATTCATTACTAATCAATTGCTGGTATTCCTCTATCAACAAATAGTGGACCGTGGCCCAAAGAAGACGGGAGTCACCCTGACGCATGACACGGCATCATCGGGCATTATACTAGCGAAAAGTAGTGACTGATAGCTTTGTTGTCGTAAACTTTAGCACAGAACAGAAGCGTCAGCTAACGCAGATCACTTGAAATTCAATTCAATTGTTTTATGTTCCTTTAGCATTACGTTAAATCTATGCGTAGTGGTCGCCATTTCAAACATAATAGTACGCTTTGAGCGCCCTTCGGATTTGCTCGTTCCGGAGCCGTTGAGCGCCAGTAGTTTCTATGCATCCACTACGCTCTGACTGGACTTTGCTTGAACTCCGCTGCCATGGTTCCGTAGCTCGTCAGCAGATGGCGCTGCGTGAGCCCTCTCCACATTTCAACCTGTTATGGTCTATGCGCTTCATTCGGTCGGTTCAGCTCACGTTGTGGCCGCTGCTGTTCTGTGGCTGGTGTAACGCTGGTGGCCGGCAAGAAGCCATAGCGATGTCTTCAGGTAGCCTGTGAAGAAGGCAGATCTCTTCGAAATCGTACAACGAAAATTTGAATTTTTCTTTATTTTATATTGCGTAATATTCCTGCTGCGCATCTTGCTTGGAGTTCTGGACAGTACCTGATTCGGAGGAAAAATGGACGAGTGTTAGTGAGAGTGGTTTCCACCTTCTCCCCCTCTTACCAAGTCTGCCATCTATATAACTGTTCGCAACGGAGAGCTTTCTGTTTACAGTGGGATCTTGAAGGCTGGATATAGGGCTAGTCCTGTTACTCTCAACTCGAAAACGGTTGCCAAATGTAACGAAGATAACATAGAGGACAAAGCAGAAAAGTGAATGGATGTGTGCATGTGTGAGAGAAGGGGGATGATGGTCGCTCGGTGACAAAGTCGTGAACGAATAGAAACAGCAACACGTTAATAAAACGCGTAGCATCGGTGTGATACAAATGTGACGAATAGTAGAGGTGATCAGACATAATTGATTTATCGTCGTTCTAAAGTTGTCCTCTTTGAAGAAAAAAAGTTCTACTCAAGTTGAACGTTTCATTCGTTGACCGTTACTAATATACCGTTGTGGATATCAAGCGTTCGCCTCGACGGATGGAATTCATATAGGTTTTTGTACGACGATCGGTCCTGCCTTTCCGTGTACGCTGAAGTTCTTTGAAATATTTTTTATGTTTGTTCAAATTATGTGATTAATATCTTTACAGATACCGAGGAAGAAAATTAAAGAGAACTGTGTCGTGCTTTTGAGGATATAAACCTTAAAGGAACTAGATGTAAGACTCTTGTGCCGGATGTACTACCCTCTACGATAATAGTTACAATGACTGAAACGCTTTAAGGATTCGAATAGGGTGGCTGTGAGTTCAAGTGGCGAGGGACGCTGTGCCATTGGACGCGACGCGCACAGGCTGCTGAGAAAGCCTGCGATGCCCCCAGCGACAGGTGAGCGATTCATTTCTTCTATGTGGTGGCTTTGGTACCTAGTAGGAGGTGCGATCGACATGCTTGTTCGTAGCTGCCCCAAGAGGCCCCATCATTTTCTCACAGAAGGCACGACGCGAACAACGACGAAGAGTCACGACAGATGCACACAGATAGACAGACGCGCTATGCCTGTACCAACGTTTCAGAGCAAAGGTGCTCGTCGCTCTAATATACAATACATATATATGTAATTTATCGAACCTATGAAGCTTACTAAACGAAGTGAGTGTGAATAACTGAATGTAAACGAACGTATTTTAAATTTCCCTGGTTTCACAATGTATAATGGAGAAAAGGTAGTCGATATCGGCCACAACAGAAAATTGTACATGGCAGCGTTATTTTAGTCCGATCGAAAAAGTTCTATCGTAAATTAGACCGAGTCATTCGACTTATACGAGACAGATACTCAAAGCTGACTCATTCAAACTTTACATATCCTTGAAGAGAAAGGATCCTCGCATCTTACTTCTTATCGGTTATAATTACTTTCCATTGCGTTGCATCCGCTTTCTAACCAATTCCAGTTCGTATCGATATTGTGCGGCGTTTCTCTGTTAGCAAAAATTGTCAAACAGTTATAATCTATAAGAATTTGAAATACTTCTAAAGCACATTTTTTCAACGTATGTATACCTATCGGATTATGCATCTAAGCAATGTTCAATGATTTTTTTAGTTTTGCATCGTTTCATGGTCCATAAACTAATTTCTATGTATTGTTTTTAATAAAAAGAGTGAAGTTTCATTGTTGGACCGTTGCTAATGACTGCTAATTTTGCAAGGACGACGACCCACACTAAAGCCAGCCAAAAGTTAGTAACTAACATATGTTTGAGCTGATACTTTTATTCAAAGTATGCTATTGGCAGTCCTCAACATGACAATTTGTCTAGAATGACGCAAATGTCCCGTATCACGCAACACGTCAGAGCAGTGGGCGGACGGCCAAATGTACAAGCAGAAATTACTCCGCTTAGTGCTGAACGATTGACCGCACTCTTCACAGGTAACCCACAGCTAACTCAGAGGTAAAGGAATTCGGATATTGCAGATCAGACTCATGATTTGTTCGCACTAGAAACGAACCCCGTTCCTTTCCATTCGAATGTAACTATTTGGACTGAACTTTGAATGCATCTCATATGTTTTATTCAAACGTAAGGGTGCAATATATGAGCAGAAAACTTAGCTTGTTCTTTCAAGCTGTGGTTAAATAGTCATATGAACGACTATGCTTAGAGACTTTCATCACTAGAAAGTACTAAGGCTATTTTTTTTTTTTTTTTTCTAAAGTTCTGTCACTACACGGCCGTCACACATACGCATATACACGTATAGAATCGTCTGATCTACGAGAAATTTTCGCAAAACCGCTTTACGGCAAACTGAATTGTAAAACAACTATCTAACATAGTCAATTCTTTTACTGAGAAAAGTAAAAGGACGTTCTTTGCCAACCACTTTTTTAGTGCGGACTCGCTGCGATTTAGGCGTCAGCCTTTGAAAAAAACATATATTGCTATAATCACAACGCGATCTTATCTGGTGTTTACTATCGGGTACATAACCATTGAAGAGAACATTCGTCTTCGTCGAGAAATTCGTTCTTACGAAGATATTTACAAACTACGATATTTTATTAATCAAGTTATTATTAACGAATTAAAGATGCACTATGATACACAAAAAACACCTTCGGAAATTATGAGGTGGTCCTAAGGGCGGCCTGACGCTTCTTACCCACTGAGAAAGTACCGGCCTACAAAATAGTTTTCTGGTTTCTTTAATATTTAAGTTGAATTTTGATACGAAAGTTCTAGGTATTGCGCGCTGTTGATTCTCATATATTTTCTATAATTTACCGTTTATGTGCCTTCTTTAGCGCATGCACATTGTATGAGTCAGCTCGTGGGTATCTGCCCCTTCTTTTTTCGTTCTAACGCTTCGGAGGCGTAGTTCTGCATATCTAACGGGAAGCCATCTAGCCCTCGGCCATTTGTGCGTTCATCTTCGGCCATCACATACATTCTGTTATTGCTTTTACTGAGGGGCTTCTATCGGTTGTAGCTATGACGGCCACTTAGACGCGCACCAGGGTACTATTTGGCGATGTTATAGCTGCAGTATCGAAACGGTCGTTGGACTGCGCGAACGAAGCTATCTTACGAAGGCTTACCGGTAAGGGCAGCAGGGCATCATCGGTTGCCGTAAGCGAATTCGCTGACAGCTTCTTTGAGATGGCAGGGAGAAAGCAGAGCAGGTAACAACAAAAACAAAGTAAATTTCTAATTTGATTTAACCTCAATCTTAATTAGGTTTAATTCAGTTTGGAGGGTGATAACGCTAACAAGCGACAACCGGTGGATACATAGCGTAATAGCGTGACAGCATCGTGGCAAAGAAATGTCTCGATAGTGGCACTGATCGCGGCGACGTCATCCTTATACTCGTCTTTAACGGGATAGACACTTGTTACTAGCGACCGGCAGGTCGCATTTCCATACTTTGGCTGTAACAGATACAGTCCGATGGCATTGTATTGGATGAACTTACATCATGCATGCATGCATGCATGCATGCATGCACGCACTTCGCTAACCTGAATGTCATTAGCAAACACCAGGAAGTCATGCGCACATGCCGAACATCGCAATCACAGATACGATTCTCTTTATATGTACAATTTTTTTTTATGAAAGGAGTCGAGTTGAAATTTTCCTCAGTGGTAATTGTTAGAATCTTCTGTTGGCACATGTATACAGCCTGGTGCAATCCAGAGAGTTGTAGGAATTTCTCTTGATTGATGTAACCGGAAAAATTTCCTGCGAACGTTGCGTTTCTAACCTTGCTATGAAGTTTGTGCTTATAAGTATAGAGTTATTCGATGCTGGCTAGGTCAAAGGTATAGTACTAAAGACCGTATTAGTTGATACAGGAACTCCTATGGTGAGCATCACAGCGTTGGCGTAACAGAGTAACAAAATCGTATGAGTTAAACAACAAATGGCGACTTTTCCTTACTTCAGTCACTCGTCTATTGTAGCTTCCCGCCAGAAGTATTCGATTGGGTTATTCTTAACGGATTAATGAGTCTCGACAGGGTGGAGCTGGTGACTCTATCAGAATCATTGGTATATGACTGCTCATATTTGTTCAGCGGAATCATCTAAAACGTTAACTTGCGCTACCGTTAGCGATGATGGTGACGATAGCAATGTGCTACGGTGTAATAACATTCCGGCATCCGTTACGTTTTGTTTACTTTGTTTCTGCACATTTCTAATGGTGTCAGTTAGTCGAGAACGTGTTCTGCCGGCTGCCCCTCAACTGAAGCATTAATAACGGCCCTCCAACACTTAACAAAAAGAAGGCAGCAGGACAAACAGCTTCCCTCGCTCACACGATTACCATTAGCTTGGTAACTAACGAGCATCGCTCTCAAATAATCGTTAACGCTATGATTTCTATGGAACATATACTCTGTCTTATTGGGACGGTGGTTTTGTCTGATCGGAACAGACTATGGCTGAGCAAAGCTTTTTTTATATTTTCGTCATGTTTATTCTTCAGAGTAGCCAATACGTATAGACAGGTACGACGCGTCGGGCGATATTCAACACGTATCAACAAACAGCGAATTCACTACATTCAAATGGTAGCGCTCTCTGCGATATCATACAGGATAATCGCATACATTGTTTTGTGCATCGGCTAACCTTGATTTTACTCATCCAGGCCCCATCGCACGGTTGAGTCATTCACTCGTATGGACGCCGACGTCAGCCGTCACTTTAGTAATTGCCAAGTGATGATTATTATCTTCCTTTCTAATCATTTGAATCGGCAAGCGAGATGGGTCAAAAAATTCATAGAATATGAAGGACACAAAATTCTCCTGAACAATATAAGTGGCGTGCGATGCCTCACAAATTATGAAAGGCAATTTGTCTTCGATAGATTAGGCAAAATGGCCTAAATCGCAAGATACCGCTATTAAATGTGAATTTTATTAGTGCGTACAATACGGAATGGTCCAGTAAAGTTTGCCAGGACCCATTTTGCAAATGTGGCACGGCGATCTTAAAAAGCCAGATTAATTCCAATTTCGAAGCGGAAAACGTTATTTCATCTTAATGTAAAAACTATCGGTCAATGGAGCTCCTCGGGTGCGCGAAAAACGTTCCCATGCCGATTTGTGTAATGAGCACAACTTGCGTATTACACTTCCACACGTATTCTATGCATTTTAAATGAAGCCACTATTTTTTTTCCCATTATAATTTATGACGCATTTATTACTCGAACTATTTACCAGGTTGTTGGTGTTGTTGTCCATCGTCATTCTTGTCTTGTATATTGATTGCACCGTAGCAGTTGTCCCGTAGGCGATGGATATTGCGGTGAGACGCGCAACCCTACGGAAGTTTTCCCATGGCCAACATTTGTGTTACCACCAAGCTAACTTTCCAATTGGTAAGCCTCGTTTTTGCTGTCGAAGCGGTCAACCACCACGAAGGGGCTGCGGTAGGCGCAAAAATATACAGGCTAGTTAAGACGAACTGCTCATGATTACAGGAGGGTGTCGATTCTTGTAAGCATTTTATGATCCGGTTTGTGTCTGTGTGTTTGTACACAGCAGAGCTAACCCGACTATTTTACTAGTTATGGTCGTGTTCCGTTTCGGTGACAGTATTCCGTTGTTGGTTCTCTCCTGGCCCCACCACTGGCGAGCGGTTGATTTACGCTCGTGAGATGATTGTTAAGAACGTCACGCTAGTGAAGAAGAGTTCAACATGATCTCGGAACTTGCCGAAATACTTAAATCTCTCTGCTGCGATGGTTATTACTGTGATTTAGTTGCTGGGTTCCGTTCACGCGGATTACAACTATATGACTGCGTCGGGCACCATCTTCACCTGTACCATTATTGCAAAGAAGGAGGGAAAACAAGCGTA